GGGTCCAGAGAAGAGCAACAAGAATGATTAAAGGTCTAGAGAACGTGACCTATGAAAGAAGGCTGAAAAAATTACGTTTTAGTTTAGAAAAGAGAAGATTGAGGGGGGACATGATAGCAGTTTTCAGGTATCTAAGAGGGTGTCATAAGGGGGAGGGAGAAAACTTGTTCATCTTGGCCTCTGAGGATAGAACAAGAAGCAATAGGCTTAAACTGCAGCAAGGGAGGTTTAGGTTGAACATTAGGAAAAAGTTTCTAGCTGTCAGGGTAGTTAAACACTGGAATAAATTGCCCAGGGAGGTTGTAGAATCCCCATCTCTGGAGATATTTAAGAGTAGGTTAGATAAATGTCTATCAGGGATGGTCTAGACAGTCTTTGGTCCTGCCATGGGGGCAGGGGACTGGACTCGATGACCTCTCGAGGTCCCTTCCAGTCCTAGTATTCTATGATTCCCCCCTACAAACAGCTGAGTGGATAGAAAATATTTTGTCCCTGTAAAAGATATGGACAACGACTTCTCCCATCCCCAGCCAAACTCACTGGTTGTAGATTCAGTTAATCACAAGGCTAAGAACCCACAATTTAAGTCTACCCCCCGCGACAAAGGGCATAAGTAGCTAGACACTTTTGGCCACAAGGTGTACTCTTCTGCCACCCTTCAATTCAGGATATAAAATTATGTAGCCTTCCTGGCCAATTACGATCATGCCAACTATGCTGAACTACAGGACCTTCCTGATGTTAAAAGACCACACCTCCAATCCATCACTAAGGAGGGTTTATCCATAGCAAAAATGGCCCTGCAGTCAGCAATGGATGTCGCTGACACTGCAGCTAGAGCCACAGCTATCATAATGCATAGGGCCTCATGGCTGCAGTCATCTGGGTCCCAGCTGCAGTCATCAGGGTCCCAAAAGAATTGCAATCAAAGGTGGAGGACCTCCCCTTTGATAGAAAACAGCTATTTGCCACTAAGACTAAGGAGATCCTACACTCAATGAAGGACTCACACCACACCCCAACTCTGGAGATGTACACCCCACTTAATAAGAAACACAAGTATACCCCCTACCAAAGGCCAAGGGACTATAATTATAACTATATGACAACAGGTCTAAGCAACGCCCTAACAGGAGGAGAATGCAGCAAAATCAGTCCTCCACCACTCAATCACACAAACACCACATTTGAAGTCTTGGTTGGGAGTCTGAGTGGCCACCCCACAGTTCCAGTGCATTCCAGTGCCACCTTTCATCAACCCCTAAGACCCTTCTACCAACAGTGGGCCCAAATCACTACAGACAAATGGGTCCTAGATATTATCAAATTGGGTTACACAATCCCCTTCACATCTATGCCCCCTAACTCCCTCTTCAGGAACCCATTTCACAAGCCCCTAATACGAACAGAGGTGCAAAAGTTACTCATCCTAGGGGCAATAGAACCTGTTCCCACAGAATATTAAGGAAGAGGGTTCTTCTCCAACTATTTCCTAACATACCAAAAACATGGGGATAGAGACCAATCCTGGATCTCAGGAAACTCAACAAGTTCATCCTCAACACACAATTCAGGCTGGTGACCCTGGCAACTATCATACCTACACTGGACAAAGGAGACTGGTTTTCAGCCCTTGACCTTCAAGATGCATATTTTCATGTAACCATCCACCTAGCCCACAGGAGATTTCTCAGATTCATCATAGGTCAAGACCATTACCAATACAAGGTCCTCCCCTTTGGACTTTCTGCGGCCCCTTGTGTTCTCAAAGACACTAGCCGTAGTCAGAACTTTCCTCAGAAGACAGAACGTCATCATCTTCCCTTACCTTGACGATTGTCTTATCAAGGGCTCCCCTTGTCAACAAGTCATAACAATGACAACCGCTACCAGGGAATATTTTTCCCTATTTGGTCTGCTTATCAATATACAAAAGTCCACCATACAGCCCACAAAAGATAAATTCTATCGGGGCACTCCTAGACTCGATGACAGCAAGAGCCTATCTGCCACAACAAAAATTCAAGGCAATCTGCGACCTCATTCGGGGGGCCCAAGCATACTCCCTTTTCCACGGTCCGGACGTGCCTCCAATTGTTGGAGCACGTGGCAGCCACAACCTTCATGATCCTATTCACGAGGCTACACATGCGCTGCCTACAGCATTGGCTCGCAACCACCTATGTTCCAATCCGACAGCCTCACGAAGCACCTCATGTTTCCTCTGCCAGTACTGCAGTCTCTCAACTGGTGGACTTCTCTAACCAACCTACTTGCTGGTATATCTTTCCACTGCCCAGATCCGTCAGTAATTATAACAGACATCACTTATGGGCTAGGGTGCCCATTGTGGTGCAAGGTCAATACAGGCCACATGATCCCAACAGGATCGACACTTCCATATCAACAGCTCAGGGCCATTCGCAATGCATGCGCCCATTTCCTTACCCTGATAAAGGGCAGAACCATTCTTGTCCTCACAGACGACACACCCTCTATGTTCTACATCAACCGACATGGGGTGCCCAATCACACTCACTATGTGCAGAAACAGATTTTGGAACTGGTGTATCAGGAACCACATAACTCCAACTGCCACGTATATACTGGGACAGCAGAACGTGAGGGCCAACAAACAGAGCAGACACTTCTCAGAGCAACATAACTGGGAGATCAATACCAATATTCTCCTCTCCATTTTTTTAAATGGGCTTTCCCAGCTGTACCATTTTGCACCACCGCTTAACCGCAAATACCACAAGTTCTGCTCCCGTGCAGGACTGGGCAAGAGGTCGGAGGGAAATGACTTTGCCATCCGCTGGATGGCTCCCCTATTCTATGCCTTTCCATCAATCTCTCTTCTCGTCAGTGTGATCAACAAGATCCAGTCCGACCAAGCCACTGTAATTTTAATAGCACCTGCCTGCCCGAGACAACCCTGGTTCCCATACCCACGCTACCTATCGATAGATCTACCCATTCCTCTCCCCACGGTGCCGAACCTCTCAACGCAGCACCACGGCAGGACATGTGATCTGAACATCAAAAATCTAAAATTCACGGCATGGCTTCTCCATGTTCTAGCATGAAGAACTTACCTGTTCAGTAGGATATGTTTGACCCTGTCCGAATAGTTGACGGCCCTCCATGAGAAGCACCTACCAAAACAGACACACTTTCAACAGTGGTGCACGACAGGCAGTTTACATCCCAATACTGCCCCTATACCTACCATGCTGGAGTATTTCATGGACCTCAGCAACACGTGTTTCTCCATCAGCTCTATCCGGGTCCGCCTGTCGGTGGTCACGGTGTTCCATGAACCTGTGGATGACTTCTCTCTTTGCATCTGATAACGAAGCAATTTCTCACAGGCCTGCAGAAAACATGCCCAAACCTGCCCCCCTCCCCCAGTGCCACCGTGGGACTTGAACTTGGTTCTCGACACACGCACCAGGCCATCCTTTGAGCCTCTAGCCACTATATCACCACAATACCCATCCATGGAGATGGCCTTCATAGTGGTGATAACATCAGCAAGATGGGTAGACCCACCTTCCACTACCTTTACCAAGGATAAATGTATACTCAGGCCTCACCCAAAGTTCCTCCCAAAGGTCATATCTGACTTCCACTTAAATGAACCCATTTACTTATCTGCTTATTTTCCTAAACCTTATACCTCCTCCAAGGAAGCTAGGTTGCACACGTTAAATGCAAGGCAAGCGATTGAGTTCTACCTGGAGAGAACATGGGGAACCAGAAAATTAGATAGGGTCTTTGTAGCATGATCTGGACCACATACAGGAACAGCTGCCTTGGCACGACGTCTATCCAAAAGAATTACCAGCTGCATACATAAAGCTTATGAATTTCATGGAAAGCAGCCACCACAGATTCAGGGCTCACTCCATGCATGCGATGGCCACAACGGCCTTCCTAAACATACCATTGGTGGACATTTGTAGAGCAGCCATATGGTCCTCCCATCACACTTTCGCATAGCATTACGCCCTGCAGAAAGGACCAATCCCTCCACATCTCTGGCAGATGCAGTCCTTCCTTCCTCTACTTAAATGACTCCAGTGCCCACTACCATCTGGTGGGTACTGTTACTGAGTCACCTGGGTGGAGCACCCACAAAGACACCACTCGATGAAAAAGAAGTTACTCGCCTGTTGCAGTAACGATGATTCTTTGAGATGTGTCCCCCTGTGGATGCTCCACTACCCTCTTGTCCTCCCCTCTGCTTGGAGTCTTTAGGAGACTTCAGGTAGAAAAGGAACAGATGGGGCTTGTGCCATGCGTGTACTTGAGATGCAGGGTGCGCAGTCATGGCGTGAGAGGCACTGCTTACTAAAAAAGCTACGATCAGCAGCTTGAGGACGCAGAGACCTGAGTGGAGCACCCACAGGGACACACATCTCGAAGAACCATCATTACTGCACCAAGTGAGTAACTTCTTGCTGTGATTTTATGATTTAAAATACACTAGGAGCTGGGCAGTACTGCGGAGATGTAAGCCGGCTCCCGCCAGGACCAGCTCCTGCTTCTCTCCCTGTTCCTTCCCCCTGCTGCCTCTGATAGAGGCAGCAAGTGAGGGAAGAAATGTGAGTCATCGACTTGACTACACAATAAGCCTAGGCTTATTGGGTAGTTGACTACTCACTTACATCCCTAATACTGGTCTAATATTTATAATTGTAATTACCTTCAATTATGTTTTATGGTCTTATTAATACAAATGTTTTTCTGGATTCTGATGGGCAATTCTCTTTTTTCAGGGTTATTAAACAACTCTAAGTGACTATTATCTATAGTAAAACCACTTTTTAAAGGTCGTCTGCAGCCTTTTGTCTTGAATTTAAAGTGTATTATTTTGTGTCAGAACCTTAATTTGACCCAAATAGATTCTTCTTCACCACAAACACAGCAGTTAGACCAGTAACATGAAATACATATTTAAAGGTGTTAAAAACATTGGCTTCATACTTTTACAGGTACTTTTAGTTCAGTTTATTTGGCCACAGCCCAGCTACAAGGAGGATGTGAGGAAAAAATGGCTTTGAAACACCTGATTCCAACTAGTCATCCTCTACGAATTGCTGCTGAACTTCAGTGTCTTACAATAGCAGGGTAGGTTTTAAAAAACAACCTAAAACTGGGTTTTTTTAGAAAAAGGAATTAAAGAGGTCATGACTGAATTTATGTATCTAGGTTTAGGGTGTGTGTCTAGTTACTTCTTAGCTTTAGCTCTTTTAGCATGTTGAAGTTTTTACCATAAGACAATAAAAATTAAAAAAATCTTTATATTACTAGCATACCACAAATAAATGATGATATCTGTAATGTTCATATTGCCTTATGTTAGTCTCAATTTGCAGCTGACTTTGTATTACTATTTCTAAGAGTTCCATAGTATTTCTATGCAGTTGCACATGATTTGGGTAGGAAGTGGCTGTGATAGAATCCTCCCTAGTGCCTCTGAAAATACTGGTAAATGGCACTGAATTCTCTTCACTTGTTTATGAATAGAATTTCACTTCTGATATTTGCTGGTTCTAAAACAGATGGTTCAAATAGGGATGTAAAATCCCGTTTAATCAGTTAACCAGTTAAACATTAAGGCTGCGTCTAGACTGGCAAGTTTTTCTGCTGAAAACCTTGCCAGCTGTCTACACTGGCCGCTTGAATTTTCGCAAGAACACTGACGATCTCATGTAAAATTGTCAGTGTTCTTGCGAAAATGCTATGCTGCTCCCGTTCGGGCAAAAACCCTCTTGCGCAAATACTTTGTTTTTTTGGTTACCCATAACCGGTAGGCATAACCTGGTAAGGGTGATGTTTACTGGTCAACCATTCACAACCCTAGGTTGAAATAGTTCTTTCCTGACATTTTAAGCCAGTTGCTGTCAAAGAGCTTAGTCCTCGATCATGCAAATCCGTGACAGCAGGCTCAAGCCCTAAGAGTGGGCCATGAAGCACCAATGGTCTGCAGAACCCTTTGTTGCAAATCACAGAATGAAGCACTCTGGAAAAAAAAGTAATGAGGTGATTTTGTTCAGAGTATATAGTGGTAGATTTTATGGCTGTTAGTGTTAGTTTGCAGGCAATATATAAACAGAAAACAAAATTTCTGAAGTTCTCTCTGTGAGCAAGATGAAATAACCTATTCTATTTGTTGTTTCAAGATTGTATTTTATTTTTCCTTTAGGGGTCATGATAACGTTATGGGAGTTAAATATTGCTTTAGAAAAAATGATCATGTAGTTATCGTTATGCCATATCTGGAACATGAATCCTTTTTGGTGAGTCCTAGCCTTTTCATATAAGCAGTAAAATACTCTATTACAAACAGTTGCAAAATTACAATATTCAAATAATTTTTCAGGACATTTTGAACTCTCTCTCTTTTGAAGAAGTACGAGAATACATGTTTAATCTATTTAAAGCATTGAGGCGCATTCATCACTTTGGTATTGTTCACCGTGATGTCAAGCCTAGTAACTTCCTGTATAACAGGCGGCTGAAAGAGTAAGTCCACACACGTGACTATTACTGTCTCATTTGGAAATGTGTGCTTTAGCAGAGCATGGTAAAAGTTTGCATTTTTCCTTTTTAGCTATATAACATGCTTAAGCAGTAAAACTATATAGCTACATACTCTCACACAAGCACATTTACCCAATGTTGCTCAGGTCCTTAAGGAGGAGCTCAGGGCAGGAGGTATGAGGGTTGCGGGAGTTAAAATGGTGGGGAAGAGTGAGAAGGTGCTCTGGATAAGGGGGAAGGAAGGGAGGGGGCTGGTGCCCCTCCCATCCTGTTGTAAGATTCGTACCAGGGCTGCTTGCTTTCCTCCTTCCTGTCCCTGTCAGGGAGGGAAAGCAAAGTGCACAGATAGAGTACATCTACACTGCAGAGTTATTTCAGAATAACATCTGTTATTCCGAAATAACGTTATGCGCTGTCTACACAAGAAGCCCATTATTTCAAAATAAATTTGAAATAACAGGCTTCTTACTCCAACTTTCTGTAAACCTCATTGTATGAGGATTAAGGAAGTCAACAGAATAGCGATTTATTTCAAAATAAGTGCTGTGTGGACAGCACCAAATTTCGAAATAAGCTACGCAATTTGCGTCGCTCAAATCGTGTAGCTTATTTTGAAGTATGTGCTACTATGTAGCTGTACCCCTAGTCTGCCACTGCACTCCCCATCCAGAGTGAGAAATGCAGAAAACTGCAGTTATCCCTTGCTCCCTGTTAAAAAGGAACAGCCAGCAATGTCCCGATATGAATCTGGGAGGGGAGAGTGCTTTAGCGCCCCCCTGCCCTCTCCAGAGAGGGTCTGGGGGAGGGTAGGAGGCTTGGGGCTAGAGCAGTGCCAGATGGGGGGCAATCTCCAGCCAGCCCCTTTCACTTGCATGGTTATTGTCTCTCTTCTGTATTTTTATGAGAAGCAATCCTATTCCAAGCATATCCCATTTTCCTGGCACAACCAAGCCCTTACTTTGCTTTAAATTATAACTTCACATAAACCCCAATCGTATCACAGGCTGCAAACAAACGGGCCACGTGTTGAGTAGAGCTGCTTTAGGAGCTGCTTGCACCCCCAGTACAATCCCATTGGCTGGCTTCTGGTGAAAACCTGTCCAAGGGGAGCTGCCTGTTTCAATAACAGGCAGCCACAAAGCACAAGGGGCTCGTAGTTATTTACAGAGCACATGGCTGCGGGGAGTGGGGCAGGGCAGGCAGGAAAGCTGATTCAGGAATGAGCTGCTGGCTGATAAGTCTCCTAGCCAGACCCTGCCTCTGGCACCCCAGGTCCTCCCTTTCCCAACCATTTGCCCACTCCTGCTCCCCTACTCTGCATACCCAAATCTTCTGCCCCCCTCTTACAGCCATACCCCCTCCCAGATCCAGTACCCCAATTCCCTGCCCTGATCAGTCCCCTACTGCCCTAGCTTAGAATCCAAACCCTTGCACCTAATCCTGTACCCCAATTCCCTGCCCTAGGTCACAATCCCAACCCCTTTTAGCCCAGTCCAGTGCCCCAGGTCACAAATGTCTCCTTCACCCAAACTCCCTTCTGCACCCAAACACCATCCCGGATTCCTGCACCTTATTCATTAATATCCTGGAGGAGTGCAGCCCTTCACCACTTTCCAAATTCTTGGAGTTTCCCCCCCCCCCCCGCCCCTCACATAAGCTGCCTGTGCCTCACCCATCAGGAATGGTGCTATACAGGCTTCCCAGGTCAACCTTTTCTAGTCTATTGTCTTGGATAACCTCTAAAAAGGTCCAGAGAAAGGCCTCTGAGTCTGTCCATGCCAAGCTTTGCTAGGCCTGGAACCAACTGACCACCAGTCCATCTCTGGGTTCTTGGGTCTCGTGCGACCCAACCACCCCTGAATCCACTCCTGCTGGTTGGAATGGTTCTCCTGCCTGTGTTGCTATGCCACAAACTAGCCTCCTGTTGCTTCTGCAGATTCTTCATTAATTGCATCAGCAAGATCTGGGTCTGTTGCTGCTTCTGCATAGGTACCTCCTGCTGCTGGCCTGCCACCAGCAGGCAGATCATATTCTCCATAATTGTGCTCCTTGTTAATCGGGGTCGGTCTGAAGAATCCCACTTCTGGTACCAAATATAACTGGCTTGGCACCCACCTCTTATGGTTGGGTGTGTCCACGGTCCTCTGGTCCCTACTCCTACTTTGCTGTCTGTTGTGCTAGTTCCCTCAGTCAGCTAGGTATACAGTCCTTCACCTCAGAGTAGCAACAGTCCTGTATCTGTCTCTGTAGCTTTTTTTTTTTAAATGGGGCCTTCCTGGGCCCTGATTACCTGCTTCTCCTGCAGCCACGTTATCCTGTTTTGGCAGACCTCTCCACTCCTCCTCTAGGTAGTCTCTGGATCTAGTCCACCACACCACATACCTTCCCAATAGGATTGGAGTCATAGTTCTGTAGAAGGTACTTTGTTTTACCCCATTTTGCTTCACATGAGCAAGATCTTCCCCCTCCAAGACTTCTTTGTCTGGAAGGCTATTCGTTATAGTCTTGTGAATCAAGTGTAAATTAAAGCAGTCATAATTTCGTAAGTCTGCAGCCAGTGGTGCTGCTGAGAATGTGCTAGGCTTATGTGATAGATCTTGTGTGTTTTCACTGTTTGTCTGGGATCTCTTTGGTCAGCAGTGAAATCAATAAGAATCAAGGCAGATTCACTCAGGCCTGAATAATAGTGGAGGTAGACAACAGCTATCTCAGACATGTGAGTTATTGACTGAGGAAATAGACCCTAAGAGCGAGATAGAGAGTAGTAAACCTCTGTTTGGTAGCAGCCAGAAAGCTGAAGGAAGGGCTCTACTCAAATAATCCTGAGGACTGGGGAAAAGTTAATGTAGCAGCGGAGTCTCATAATACTCTATAAGTTATAGAAAATAATGTTCAGTCTCCTTTCTATCATCAAGTGTAGGATAGATGGTGGCTTTCAATGTATCAGGTATGTATTAGTTAGAGGCTGGTATGGAAAATGGAGTGCCCAAGCAGTACCAAGAGAGACATTCAAACACCATTTATGCATTCTAGTAGCAGTTGACTTCTTGCATAGACGTTGCCCCTAGCCAGTGATGTTCTCTATCTTTCATAAGTCTAAGAATGTTAGGTTTAGTTCTCTGGCTACTAAATGCGTAATACAATTTTCAAGCCTAGTGGGAATGTGTGAGGGGGTACTTGGGGAAGAGAATGAGTGCATATGAGATTTCAGAGGGAAAAAGACAAAATATAAGGAGAAAGTAAGGGATAGAGGTAAAAAGGAATAGGATGCTGAAAAAAACCTCAGGGAAACAGTACATGATATAGAACAGAAAATGTAAGATGAGAATAAGTATAACAAAATAGAAGTAAAGGGGCTTATTGATTAGTGTTCAGTGATTATTATTCACTTTTCACTAGTTTGTCAAACTGTATTGGATTTTTTTTATATTTGACCAGACTTAAGAATGAGAGCCACTTCAAAAAAATTTAGAAAATTGGTTATAGTTATAGCATAGAATTGTTCTTTAAATTGCGGTGGATATGGTGCAACAATTATATTTCACCTGGTTAATAGGCTCAAATCCTCTAAGAAGGGTGAGCTAAATTTTCAAAACCTGACACTTACGAGTGGGTTGAATGTCAACGTATTCCTTCGCTTCTGTTTTAAGGAACTGTGTTGTAAAGTATAGTATATTTTCTTAAATTGTCTTTTTAAATTTGTCTTTTAGGTATGCCCTAGTAGATTTTGGTTTGGCACAAGGAACCCCTGATACGAAAATAGAACTACTCAGAGTTGTCCAGTCTGAAAGCCAACAGGAAAGTTGTTCACAATATAAGCCTCACCTGACCTTGGGAAACACGGTTTCTGTCAGTATTATGGCATCTAGACAGATAGCTCCACAGTCAGCCTCAAAAACATCTCATGATAAATGGTGCTGCTCGCTTTCACAAATGCAGATTAAACAAGGAAAAGAAGGAAAGGTTGAGTCTTTTTCACCAATGTTGCCACGAGTTAGTTTAATGTATTACTTCATCCAACAGGGGGAGATGTAGTACTAAAACAAAATTTGTCAGTCTCTAATTCCAAATCTTACTGTGTATGATGAACTCACACAACACATTGCAAAAGTTTGTAGGAGTTAAATAGTTTCTGTATAACTATATTGGCCTTGAATATTACTTCACATTTACTGTCTACTAGATCTCACAATGAAAATAGTGGATTGTCAGATAATAGTGCATGCTGTGTAAAATGTGGTAATATTTAGTGAGCACCTGACTCTCCTTATGTTAAAAGGAATTAACTTTTCAGCAATATATACCCATGGCTTCCCTCCCCACAGAAAGTCTCATCTCCATTTTACATCAAAATACAACTGCTGTACATGTGAACTTCAGGGTGACTTGGTATATTTCTGGAGCGTGATGTATTTTGCAAGCATGTTTATAATTGTCTAGACTGTTGTCTTCATTCACAGTAATCTGGTGCCTGAAAATGGCTTGCATGCAGCTGTTTTTGTCTTATGTCACATCACATTTTTAAATATTGGCAGATTACAGCCGACAGTGTTACAGATAGAATCTTACTGTCCTTTTTTGTTGTAGGAGGGGTCTGTGCATCCTTCTGTCCAACGCTCTGTCTTTGGAGAGAGAAATTTTAATATCCATAGCTCCACATACCAGGAAAACACCACAGTAAAAGTAAGCAAGACTGCTCACCATGTGCACAATAATATTTAAATTGTTGTGGAACTTAATTGTGTTAACCATCTGTGATTTGTTAGGGCACTAAAAATTATTGAACAGAATAGGGATGTTAGCAAGTAGTCGACGAAGTAACAACTACTTGCTCCCCCCAAAACAGGAGTCAGTGCTGGAGGAGCCAACTTAAATGCTGGTTCCCCCTTGCACCATCTCAATGGTGCTGCCTTCCCCCACCACCCACTGCCTCTATCAGAGGCAGCAGTAAAGCGATAGGAGAGGCTGCTGCTATGCTCTCTGCTGGCAGCGGGCTGAGGCTGGCTGCAAACAGAGGCTGCTCCAGCAGCAGCCCTTGTCCGTGGGGGTCCCAGCAGGGAGCTGGGCCTCACCGCGGACAGGAGCTGCTACCACCAAGCAGCCTCTGTTCGCTGCAGCCAGCGCGAACTGGGACCGAGCAGTCCTGGCTTGCACTGGTCCAGGACACTGAGCCTCTGCATTTTAAATGTCATAAGAGCCCAGCAGCTCTACATTTAAAATGCAGAGCTGTGGGGTTGGTGGCTTCCGGAGCTACCCCTGCTGTGGCTCTGCAGAGCATCCTTAATCATGTAATCAATACAAATTGTATCGGCTGCACGATTAGCCAGTTAACTGCAATTTAACATCCTTAGAACAGAATTACACTTGACACTTAAAGTGATTTTTTTAAAACTGTTTGGATAACACGGTTATTACAGCTATGGTCTAGATGTTGCCCCACCTGATTTTGTTTATATTATATTTTGTTATATTAGGGATGTTAATGGTCAACCGGTAAGCCTTACCTTGGTTATGGTTAATCAGTAGGAGCTGGAGCAGCCCACCACAAGCAGGAGGCTACTTCAGCCTTGTGGGACCCACCACTGGCAAGGGAGCTCCAGCCTGGCTGGACTGGCCCTTGTCCATAGTAGTCCCCCGCCCCTGTTTAATGGATTAATTGTAGTATTTAATCTTTTCCTATCTGTGTAGTTTGGAAATTGAAAAAAAAAATCTTGCTTTTGTATTCTGCAGTTGATAAGACTACAGAGAACACAGTTTTACAGACGTTTTACTACACTGTTTATAATCTGGGCATGATGTCTCATGGATGGAAAAACTAGACATTAGCAAGAAAAATCCTAACAATGAATTAAAGGAGATGGTTTGGCCAACAGTGATATTTTAATTGAGAAGTTTAGGCTTTGAAATAATGTAGCCAAACTCTAGCATCTAACTCCACTCTTTATGGTATTTTTCTTTTCCCATTGAGTCTCTTTTTAAAAACAAAATCCCTAGCCAATAACAAAATACATTGTCCTTGAAAACATAATGTTATTGTAATTTCAAAGTGCTTATAGATATATTTTAGATATTAATTAGTAGTAGTTTCTGAAAAATATCTAGTTTCCCAGGAAAATCAATAACTAGAAATCTTAAATCCCTTGCTTGTTTTATTAGCCATTGAGAGATCAGTAAACAGGTTTGGCAGTTTCCTGTTTTAAAACAGGCAACATGTTTGTTAGTGCTTTCAGCACAGTAATGGGAAGGGAAGGGGAATAGAAAAATGGGAAATAGTTATTAAATGTTTGAAATCTTTGGAACATATAATGTCTGTATTACAGCTCATAAAGCAATCAAAGGTGACGGATGTTGCATCTAGAAAATTAGCAACAAAGAAGAAGATTATTTCTACAAAAGCAGTGAACAATGGTGCTGCCAGGAAGTCTGCCAACAATTGCCCAGCTATCTTGACCTGTGACTGTTATGCAACGGATAGAGTTTGCAGTGTTTGCCTTTCAAGGTAATTTGCTTTGATGATGTTGTAAAATCAACTTCTGTGCTGTCAAGCAAGGTTAGAAACTTTGATTTACTGGACAGTTGATTTAGTAAGTGAAAGATAACATTAGACCTATGCATTAGAACACACTGTGTATATTAACCTGATAAAGGTCATGGATTTCATATGGTACTCCCTTCCAGTGCTAACTTTCTCATTGAGATAAATGTGATTATATGTAGTTAAAATAGTCTGAAAAAAATTTCTCCATTTATTTTTACCAACCCTCTGTCTAACCCACAGAAAATCACTTGACTTGTTTGATATAACTATATTGTAGTTTAACCTTCTTGTCAGTTCTTCCATCTCCCAGTAAACCATTATCCTTGCCCTATATCATGTACATATCAAAATCTTTGGATTTTGGTGTATACAGACAGTTACTTTAAAGTGGGGGAGGACTCTAAGTTCAGTAAGTTAAAATAGCTTAACAATTCTCTGCATTAAAATCCTGAAATGGGTTTGAGAGAGGCTTTATTTACACCTATATGGGATTCCCAACATATCTATACTCCACACATCTATAGAGGGATCCCTTCTCAATGGAAACACAGTTTATAAGGAAAAATGTAGGCCCACTACTTAGCAGGGAAGTAGTGCTTATTACAGACATCAAGAAGGCCGAAGTGTTTGCCTAATTTGCTTCAGTTTTCACTAAAAGTGTTAATGATGAGCAAATGGTCAATCCAACTATAATAAAGGGCAAGGAACAGAAGCCAAAATAAGGAAAGAACAGCTTAAATAATGGTTAGGTAAGTTAGATGTATTCAAGTCAGCAGGGACTGATAGAATGCTTTCTAGGGTACTTAAATAAATAGGTGAAGCATTCTGAGCCATTAGTAGTTATTGCTGAGAACTCATGGAGGATTGGTGTGGTTCCAGAAGACTGGAAAAGGGAAAATACTGTGTCTTTCTTTAAAAACTAAAATGAAGACCCAGGGAATTATAGATCAGTCAGCCTAACTTGGATATTTGGAAAGATACTGGAACAAATAATCAATTTGTAAGCACCTAGAACAGGGGCTCTTAACCAGTGAAGTGCACCTACCAGGGAAAGCGTGAAGGGGATACAAGGGAGGTGTGAGGTGCCTCCCAGAAAGTTTATCGCAATTGCCTTCTCACTGGATAAAATTCTAAAGTTTAGATTTCTTCATCATTAATATTATGAATTAAAATTATAAACAATTTCTTAACTTCTAGAGATCAGCACACTACAATAGCAGTGCAAATCAATCAGGCCTATGTGATGACACACTACAATAACAGTATGCAAGCATTGCCAACTTTCATCTTCAAATATTACATAAATTTGTTAAGAAAAGGTTCAAAGTACAAAACTCATATTATTCATTTAGGCATTGTAAAAGGGTTCACTCACCCCACAGCGCCACCAGCCGTTGGACTTGGGAATTTGCTCAGACAGCTGCATCCAGCTGGTTCGCCAGGTCCAGGGTTCAGGCAGGCCTCGGGGTTCGAGCCAGGCCTTCAGCTCAGGCCGGTCCTCCGAATCACCAGGCACCAGTAAAGCCTTGCGTTCCTCTAGGTCAGAGGGTAGCCCTGCTGGCTGGCTTGGACAGGTCTCAGTGGCCCAGGCAGGGAAGCCTTCCCTGGCCTGAGGGAAGGCGGCTGTGGGAGGCCTGGGCCAGGTCTCAGCCTTGTCAGCCAGGAGCTCTTGGCAGGCCTCTGTCTCCCTCAGAAGCTGGGCCCCAACTGAGCTCCCTAGCAGAGTTCTTATAGTCCTAGCCATGCCCCTTAGCTTCCTGTCAGGTGAGGGAGCGGGGCTAGGCTGTGCACAAAATGGCTCCCAGGGGGGTGTGAACATGAAGTTCACTTTCAGGGGAGGTGTAAAGATAAAAAGGTTAAGAACCCCTGACTTAGAAGATTATAGGTTTATAAGGAATAGCCAATATGGATATGCCAAACCAACCTTAATTTTCTTCACTGTGTGGGTTTCTGGCCTAATGCATGGAGAGAACTTAGCTACTTTTGGGCTGCCAGATGCTTTGTTTACCTAAGCGTCTGCAGGTATGGTTATTTACAGCTCTGACAGGCTGGGAACAGGCTGTACCTGTGGATGCTCAGGTAAACAAAGTGTCTGGCAGCCTGCCAGAGGCTAACCCTGGCAAACTGCTCCTGGCTTATGGGCTGGTTATTGGCTACCTCAGGTCTAAATGAAATAACTGCACCGCTGGTTGAAAGACTACTCGGAATAGTTATCAATGGCTTGGTGTCATACTGGGAGGGCATGTATAAGTGGGGTTGGCACTAGTCAATATTTTCATTGATGACTTGGATAATGGAGTGGAGAGTCCACTTATAAAATTTGTAGATAAGACCAAGCTTGGAGGTATTACAAGCACTTTGGAGAATAGGAATAGATTGCAAAACAGTCTTGATAAAATGTAGAATTAGTCTGACATTAGCAAGATGACCATCAATAGAGGCAAGTACAAAGTACTTTACGTTGGACAGTCTACACAACTTCAGCTACGTGAATAACATAGCTAGAGCGGATGTAATTTTAGGTTGAGGTGCCACAGGGTCTCCACCTCAGAGGTTTGACAGGAGAAACTTCCGTTGACTTCCCTTGCGCTTTTTGTTGGTGGAGTACTGTAGTAGATGAGAGATGAATCAGTGGTCAATTTATCAGGGATCAACTGCTGCAGTGCTGATATCCTGGTAAGTATAGACCAGCCATCAGGAAGTAAAAATCTAATGCACAACTAGAGATATAAAATCCAATTTCATTAGTTAACCAGCTAAACTTTAAGTTTAAGTGGTTAACTGATTAAAAGGGAGGGGGTGTGCCATGGGTAGGGGCTTGGCAGGCTTGCAAGTGAGGAGGGGCAGCAGAACAAGGGGAGGGTTGCTGCTTCCATTCCCTTTAACCTTCCTCCTCCCCCCACATGAGGCTGCCAGCTGGGAGCCAGCAGCCTGTTAAGGGTGATGCTTGCCAGGAAACTGGTTAACCAGTTACCTGTGCATATCCCAATGCACAACTACAAAATAGAGAATAATTGGTTAGATAGTAATTCTGCTGAAAAAGATCTGGGAGTTACAGTAGATCACAAATTGAATATGAATCAATAAGGTGATGAATAATGAATCACAATAATGTGATGCAGTTGTGAAAAAGGTCAGTATGATTTTGGGATGTGTCAAGAGGAGCGTTGTTTGTAAGATGTGGACAGTAATAGTCCATAATACTTCATCTGTTGTATTCTCTTAAAATGTGGCACCCTGAATTGGACAAAGATGTAGATGATTTGAGGGAGACCAGATGAGAGGATCAAAAATAAGATTTAGAAAATCTGGAATATGAAGAAAGGTTAAAAGACTTGAGGAAAAAGAGTTGGGGATCAGATAGCTCTTCAGATATGGTACTCTAAGGCCTCGACTACACCAAAGGGAAAAGTCAGCTTAAGATACCTAACTCCAGCTACATAATTATCATAGCTGGAGTTGCATATCTTGAGTAAGAGTATCTTAATTCCTGTTTTGGTGTTGTCCACACAGCTGGGGGTTGATGGGAACACGCACTCTAACTTCCCTTACTGCTTGTGAGGAGCAGGACTACTGGTGCTGATGGGAGCGCCCTCTCAGTTCTAATTAGAGTGTCTTCACTAGACCTGCTAATTTGAACCCCGGAAGATTGACACTATAAGCTTTGATTTTCTCTATAGTCTAGATAAGCCCTAAGGGTAGTAAAGTGCCAAAATCGGCTTCGAAGGGGGTTGTGTAATCTTTTGTTGGAGGTATTTAAGAACAGGTTGTACAACTGTCATGGATAGTCTGATGATGGTCCTGCCTCATTATTTGATGACTTCTCAAGGGCCCCTTCCAATTCTACAGCTTTATAATTAATTTTATGATTATACCAGCAAGAGTTATTTTGAAAGTATAACTTAAACCAGTTTCCCACACAGAATAAACTAAACTGGGAAGATAATTTTTTTTCCCTTGAAATAACTGTCTGCATTAAGGTTTTGCTGGAATATCTATGTCTCCTTAACCCCATGACTTTTCACATCTGTAACCGACATAGCTAGTCCAGCAAAATGTAAATGTAGGCCAAGCCACATAGTATGATGCTTCCAGGGACTTTTAAATAAATAAGTGAACTGAATAATTACAGTTAACTCATCCAATTAACTCAAATTAATCACAATTAAAACTGCGGTTTTAAATGCACTGTTAAATAATAGAACTGATTGAAATTTAAATATTTTTGTATGTTTTTCTGTATTGTCAAATATCAATTTAAATCACAACATAGAATACAAACTACAGTGCTCGCTCTCATTATTACAAATATTTGCACTGTGAAAATTACTGGTAGGACCAAAAAGAGCTTATAGAGCACCTGAAAGGAGTTTAAGTGAAACAAGGGGGGTACGTCTAGACTTCAGAGTTTTTCCAGGATACTGGAGTTTTCCCGGAAAAACTCTGCCGCGTCCAAGGAACACATCTGCTCTTCTGAAATTTTTTTTGGAAGAGCAGACATGTTTTTTTCAGCATCCCTGTGAACCTCGTTTTACAGGGAAGAAGGGATGTTCCAAAAAGGGTTTTTTCCCACATTTGGCCCAGTGTAGGCGGGCCAAATGTCGGAAAAGACACTTCAGAGAAAAAAGTGGAAAAAGTTACACAAATTGTGGTTTGCAATTTGCATTCCTTTTTCTGAAAGAATTGTGTACTCTAGACACAGCCAGGGAGAACATGGGCTTGTTTGTTTTGGGGCTTACTTATTGTGGGAGTTAGAACATGTTTGTAAGGGGTGGGGAGTGTTGTACAATGTACCCTATGCTGCAATCCTAGCAGGGTCTCAGCACTGACTGAGCTGAGACCATGTAGGCTGCAAGTAGAGAAGAGACTGCTGAACTGTTATCCTGTTCTGTGTTCCGATAATTAAGCCTGTTCTTGGTGGCTTGTCTCTGAGATGCACAAATACTGATGCACAACACAGA